TATTACTATTTTCTGAGAAGGAGGTAATTAAAGAGACAAAGGATGAATGAAGGTGGTACGCTCAATAATTGGCACAGCTGACACCCAAACTCAGACCTCTTATTCTTTATGTGCCAACTCTGAACTCACCAGTCCAGCATTCACAGCTTTTACTCCAAGGCATGACCACCCATGTCTAACAAATGTCTCTGTGAACTGCCATCACTTGCTAGATTCCTAGCTACATGCTCTTAATTCAGAGGAAAATATGAACATCATATGTACAATATAAAATGTATGAACCATTTCTTCTTCAAAGTCCAACCTGAAACTACAGGGAGGGTGGGGATTCTGGGGGATCTAGGAGTGAGAGGGTGTTCAAAGCATCTGGCTGAATTTCTAGAATTCTTTTTTTTAATTTGGAGCAAAGACAGTGAAAGAAAAAAATAAAAAACAGCTCCTCAGGTGGAATGAGTGCCAAACACTTGTGGTACACACCCTGTAAACCTTAAAGAGAAACGCTAAGGCCTCTGAGACCCCATCATCCTGGTCAATAGGTTAGTCCCGCTTCCAAAACTCTAGAACTCTAGATCCACATCTTAGAAGAAAGCAACTGCTGGGGAACTGGTCTAGAGGATTACATCTGAGGAAGGACACACTCTCCCAGGTAGACCCAAAGACCAGTCAGGCAAGTAAGCTAAGCAAAAAGCCCTGGCACTGTCTCCCAGAGGCTCCTTTCTGCATGGGGAGGCAAAGGCACAGTGGTTAGAAAGGTGGGCTTTAGCATCACACAGAAGTTTATGTCTAAGCTCTATTTCTTGCTATCTATCCAGTTGTGGGCATGGAACTAAATCTGAACCTATAAAATGGAATAGGGTTAAGGACCTATGTCACGGGTTTGTTTTGAAGATTTAAAAAAATAATGCCTACAGCCATACCACCTGAACGTGCCCAATCTCATTTGATCTCGGAAGCTAAGCAGGTTCGGGCCTGGTTAGTACTTGGATGGGAGACAACCTAGGAATACCAGGTGCTGTAGGCATTAAAAAAAAAAAAAAAGAAAGAAAGAAAGATAATGCATGTAAAGTACTTAGCATGGTGCCCGACACACAGTAATGCCTCAGTAAAATCTTTTTAAAAGCTGTGATTAAACCTAAAAATCGTTTCCTTGCTGTCAAAGTGCCTGGCTCCAACTCCAATTCTCTACCATGGAAATTAGACTTGCGGTTCTCTGAAATGAGTGAAAACATCCAGATGAGTTTAACTCCCTCTCACAAGGATAATCCTAGGCCTTTGAGAAAAATGTTAATAAATTCTGTCTACACACAACAGTCAAATGCTTTCTAGTTTAGTGATGGTCCAACTTAAATGGTGGTTTACTTCCACCCCTTTCTCTCCCTCCATTCCTTCTGGGACTCCCATTATCCATGTTATATGCTTGATGGTTTCCCAAAGGTCTCTGAGGTTTTGCTCATTTTTCTTCATTCTTTTTTCTTTCTGTTCTTCAGACAGGATAATTGCATCTGACCTATCTTCAAGTTTGCTGATTCTTTCTTCTGCCCGCTCAAAGCTGACGTTGAGCCTCCTGATGAATTCTTCATTTCAGTTATTATACTTTCAACTTCAGAATTTCTATTCTTTAGACATGGTTTCCTTTTGTTCTTTGAATAGTTGATTTACAATTTTTTTTTAATAATAGTTGATTTATAATTTTTGTCTATTGTGTCCAACATCTGGGCTTCCTCAGGAACAGTTTCTATTAACTGCTTTGTTTCCCTGTGTATGGTCCATACCTTCCCATTTCTTTGCATGTCTGTAATTTTTTGTTGAAACTGGACATTTTAAATACTATGTCAACACTGGAAATGAGACTCCTCCCTCCCCACACTCCGTAACTAGAATTTGTTGCCATTGCTATTATTGTTTAGTGACTTTCCTGGACTAATTTTAGAAAATCTGTATTCTTTGTCATGTGCAGCTACTGAAGTTTCTGCTCCATTAGCTTAGCAGTAAGCTAATGATTAGACAGAGATTTCCAATAAGTCTCCAACTTTTCCCAAAGACCTCCTCTGTGTGTGTGTATTGAGACTTTCTCTCAGAGATCCAGCAGGCAGGTGACAACTCTGCCTTAACCTTCACTTCCTGCTTGCACAGAGCCTCAAGGTCAGCCTGAGGTGAGAGGGTAGGGCTTGCTCAGGTCTTTCCTGGGTATGTGCACAGCTTTCGGAGTTTTTCAAAGCCTCCATGGACATCTCAGTTTCCAGATATTTTTTCAAGATTTTCAGCCAGCCTCTTGAACAAGAAAATCACCCCAACTGGTATTGCTACCTCAGGCAGCTGTGATGTTGAAGGACTATTTTCAATAAATGCTCTAGAAATAGAGCTTTCCCACTGAGCAAGCTGAGTCAGGTCAAATAAAAGCAAGTCTTCTGAAGGGGGGTATTTCCAGGGATCTGCCAGACAGCTCAAATAGTGACCTAGTGATGGGACTTTTAGGGAACTCCAAACTATTCTGCCCTCTCCAGTGTCTGTGAGGCTGCTAGCTGTCAAGGCTACCACAGATCCTGGAAGAAGGGGATCAGAGTAGGGCAAGTTAAAACACAAAGCTCATTATTCTTACCATTATTAAGCCATTTTCTTGAATAAATGTCCCTTAGATTGTTGCCAGCCTTTGGTTAAGAGCTCTGAAGAAATTAATTTTGTCAATGCTTGCCAATATTCTTGTTGCTTTCATGGAAGAACAGATTATCTAAGGTCCTGACTACACCATTTATTTCCTGGGTTATCATTTAATGAAGTAAATAAGGAACAGTGTTCAGAAGTATAGGATTAAAACAACACTGCCAGATCGAAGACCATATAAGCAACCAGCCATACAAGGGGAAAAAGGAGTTGCTTTGCTCACACAATATGCCCAGAGCTGAGCCCTCAATGACCAGAAACAACACTGTTACTGGTATATTGTTTTTGTTCCTTGCTTTCATGGATCAGTGACGTGACCCTGCCATTGATAGCCTCCAGCCCTGGAAACTACAACCTCTAGAATGGGATCATTGCACAGGTATCACCACCATCACCATTTTCATTCATGGAAAAAAATTTATTATGCACTCATCTAGCCTAGAATCCCAAGGTAGGCCTCAAATACCATGTTGTCAGATCCAATATGATGGTCAAAGGTTAATGCACTCACGGTGTCTAACTCTAGGGAAAAAGTTCTTGGAATTATGGAATTCTGAGTCTGGAAAGGACCCCAAAGGTCATCTGGCTTCACTATCCATCTATATAGTCTAATATGCCCCACAATGGCCCCTCCAACTAAGTGGCTGGTCCCTTCTACACTTGAATGCAGTTAAAAGCAGTAACAGGCAACTCATAACTTCATTAGTTGAACATCTTAAATATTGGAAATGTTGTCTTTATACTGTGGATGAATGCAGAGACATACTCAGAACTGAGAAGCTAGAGAGAATGATCCAGAGACCTTGAAGACTAATCTGGTTATCTAGAATTATTCCAGATGAGAGGTCACTTAGATACTGTGTGTGCCTGAAAAACTTAGGTGTGCCTCTCTACTCATGGATGATACCTCTTATCTAATACCTAAGCACATAAATACTTTGAGATAAAGGACATTGATAAGCCTAAAATGAAACTATGGCACAATTCTAAAGACTATCAGCAATTATGGAACAGTCATCAAGAATGTAGGTGCTGGAGTTAGACAAACCTGCATTTGGATCCTGGCTCTGCCACTTAAAAAGCTGTGTGATTTGAGCTAGTTACCCAATCTCTCTGAGTTTCTGTTTCCTCATCTATTAAATAGGGATAATTATAGAACCACCTAACATGAGTGTGATGGAAGTTAAATATAAGCATATGTGAAAAAGTCTTGGCACATAGTAAATGTTATTGTTGTTATAAAACATATAATTTGTTGAACCTATCAAAAACACAAAGTTAGAGCCAACTGGGGTTTCACCAAAAATAAGTCATGTCAAACCAATCTCATTTCTTATTAAAGTCAAGAGTCAACAACTGTATAACATGCAGTTATATAGTTTATTTCTTTTTATATGATATAAAAAGTCAAGAGTCAACAACTGTATAACATGTAGTTATACAGTTTATTTCTTTTTATATCATAAACTGTATAACATGCAGTTATACAGTTTATTTCTTTTTATATCATATAAAAAGAAATAAACTGTATAACTGCATGTTATACAGTTGTTGACTCTTGACTTTAAACTAACTGGTGGATTAAATGGTCAAATGTAGGATGGATAGCAGTGCAGTTGGGTGGATCTCTTTAATGGAACGTCATGAGGTTTGTCCTTACCCTGGCTGGTCAAACCTTCTAATTAAAGGTTGGAAAGTGATACAGAAAACACCATGCAGGGAAGGCAAGCCAATACACCAGCATAAAGATTCAAATTTATCTTACCGAAAGCCAAGAAAATGAAATGAAAGAGGGATGTTGTCTTGCATTCAGGTTAAAAAAAAAAAACAAAAAACAAAAAGACGTCAATGTTATAAGATGAAGAAAGATTGGTTGAGGAGCGGTTTATATGAAAAGACTCATGTATGCATGTGTGCATTCATTCATTCATTCAATATACACTCTAGGCCAGCCACCGTTGAGGAACTATAAAGATGAAAAGACATAAATCTCTGCTCTCAAGGAGTTCACAGTCTAGTGAGAAGACAGGCCTGGAAATGGAACAGCACAGTAAGAGAGGAAAGGTTACCTAATACTGCTTTACAGCAATGATACTGAGATGAGACTTGAAGGATTAGCAGGCATTTGTCACATAACTTGACATGGAAAGGAATGGTTTTCTAGGTGGACTTTACAAAACACGTAAAGCCCCCGAGACACAGCTGATTCTTCTAGTTGACCCTAAATAATTACTTTACATGCACATTTGAGATTTGAAAAGAGTAAGACATACAGACACATTATGCCTCTCATCTCACATTCCAAGTTCTGTAGATGTGTGGACACATCTGTACCTTACCATAGGTGATGACAAGCAGCACGAAGTTGAGGTTTTTGAAGAGCCGGATGATGGAACTTAAGTATGAAGCATCAGGGGATGACAAGGCATAGCTCAGGGACTGGGCTCTGCTGGGGGGATGTTTAGGCTTCTCCTTGAATACTGGAAGGAAAGAAACAGACAGATCACTGAACATCCCTGTCATCCCACCCCAGGAGAACTGACACATGACAATAGCTGACTCCATCACCATTTCCTAATATTCAAAAGAAAATATTAATTCTTCAATTAAATCCTTTACAGGTTCCTCTCTTGAAGCCGCTTTCCATTGTCTGTGGCTGGCTGAATGAATGGTCTATTGATTACTTTTTCTTAATGGTCTCTGGACAGCTGCAATCCTTGGGCCTTCTAGGCAGTGTTCAAGGATCAAGGAGTCCCATTATAACCAGCAACAACATACCACAAAGCACTGAAAAAACACAACAGTAACACATGGTAGACAGGAAGTGAGAGCTGAGGCTTTGAGATTAGGGAGCCCAGTTATTGACTTAGCATCAGATCTCCTCCCAAAGGGAAAGGGATTGTATTGTCCATGCTTAGCATATGGCACATGGCAGTCAATAAATATTCCTTGAGTAAATAAGAGGACTTCTTCTATTGGAAAAATAGGAGTCCAGTCCTAGTTTCTCCAAGTCTGAACCAGATATCTGCCTCACAAAGGGGCAAGAGTATTTACATGTTCTACTGTAGGAGTGGCTACTCTGATATGAAGAGCTAGGGAGGGACTGTGGGAAAACTATTCATTTTATATTCTATTTTCAATACAACTGGTACAATCAATTTAACTGCACTGATGCTATTCAGTTATCTGGGGAGAAGATCAGATTAACCAGTTCTTTTGACTAAACTAGTCCCCAGTTGGATCTAAAGCGAGCACCACATGGCCTCCCCCACACCACAGGAGAACATTACTGCTCCATTTAGAAGTAGTTCTAGAAATGAGATTTAATGTACTAAAGATCAAAGTTGCCCCTCCCTTCCTCTCCCTACCACCAAAAATCCTTCAGCCCTGACTTCAGAGGCCCGCTTCTTTCTGCTCCAGAAGTAATCCTGGGTAATCTCCTCCTGGATAACTTCCTGCTGTTGGGAACCTCTCATTCATTGTCTTGACTATTCACCTTCCCTTCCATCAGGGAAAAGAAAGCAAGGCAAGTGACTATTTACCCCAGCAACATCAGGTTCTTGCTCAAGGATTTGGCAACCACAAACCAGAATTCAGATAAGATCTTTCGGTTCTTTACTCAATGAACTACTATCTGTGCTTGATAATAAAATACCAAAATGTAGAAATGTCCTAGCTCCAGGATTTCAACTACAAAGAAAAAGGACTTCAGCTGACACACCACAAGAATTTGGAGCTGGGCACATTACAATTTGAAATAAAGTCTGGCTGAGTAGGAAGGTCCCTGGCTGGATTGTTCTCCCTGCTCTCATCCACAGCTTGACAGCTTCTCACCTTTCCAAAGGTGAGTGAAAGAACACCAAATCCACTGTGCAAGGTATCTGGCCAGCTTTTAGAAGCCATCAGGCAGCCCATTCTCAGCTTAGACCCCGGAGATGGAATGACACAGTGAGAACAGTTGAATGAGGTACACAATTATAAAACTGTTTGACTTTGGAGGTGAGGCCAGAAGGAAGGAATGAAACCTTTAACATGTGAGTGGAACTTTCAGATATTAGGAAGAAAACTGGTTAACCTTTAGACAGGTGACTAACTGAAAATGAAAACCTCTACTCTGCTGTTTCTGAATTTATTACTCAGATGATAAAAGAGGATATAAAATTATATTATCCACCAACTCTATGGTAATGGATGGTAGTTAGACTTATGGTGGTAATCACTTTAAAGTGTATACAGATGTTGAATTAGAATGCTGTACACCCAAAACTTATATAAGAATTTTTTTAAAATTATATTAACCAAATATCTCAATTATTAAATGTACATGCACATAAAATTAACAGTAGTTATTTAAGGTTGGTAGTTGGGATTAACTCACACAAGGCTAAATTAGCAGTCATCCTTTTCTTTATGCTTTTCTATATTTTCTAATTTTTCCACAATGAGCATATAATTTGAAAGCATTAAAAAATGTGGTACCCAGGTATGCTCAGGTGAATCTATGAGGTTATTAGTGTTTGTGGGTTAATTCTGTTTTGTTTTATTCCAGAAATTTATAGTATGGCATTAGGTAAGTTTAGGCTTAAATTTAATCTCCAGCACTTACTAGCTATTTAACTCTGAATAATTTTTTTAATTCCCCTAAGGCTCATCTTCCTCTTTGTTAAATGGGACTGATAATGGTACCTTCACTCACGAGGCTGTTGATTACATGAGATCAGGCATGCATAGCACAGTGCCTGTGATATTATAAGTGCTCATGGGGTTTCTTCAAAGAGATCATCAGCGAGCCCATTAATTCCGGTGAGGTCATATTGCGGAACTGTTTAATTAGAAATAAACCTTTTACTGAGCTGCTAACAAAGCGCACTAGACAAGCTAGCACTGTGCTGGGGGCAACTGCTCAATCTAAAGCATTTGAAGACCATTAGAAGCCTGGCTTCCAGTTTATGTAAATGTCCACAGTATTCTAGGGCCATGTTCAAGGGCTCCATCAAAGCCAGCAGAACTTTCCTGTCTCCCCACCCCCCAGCAGTCTACTAAGGAACTTACCGATGATGACAAGGATGAAAAGCAGAGTGGCCACACCTCCTATTATGTAGAACATGATACTGATATGGTAGGCAAGCTTGTCCTGGTCATTGGTATTGGGCACCAAAACAGGAGGGACCAAGAACCCAATTGCAATTCCAAGCTATAGAAGACAGAAAGTCATCACAGTCACCAATGGCCAAGAGGTGACAGCACACATTTAAAGAGACTCCTAATAAGAAACATAATCCCAGTCTTTCTTAAAGCCCAAACAGGAACTGTTTCCTCCCTCAGGACACCAGAGAGAGCTTTCTTTTCATTGACAACTTAACCCGCACACACCCCTGACCACCCTCACCATCAATACCTATTGAAAAAAATCATAGTTGGGGCTCTCGACGCAGGCTGGGTCTTCTCTGGTTGCAAACTAATGAGCAATGGCTCCTATACTCCCATCTACGGTAGAGTAAAACAATGTTGACTTTTTCCTGTGTCACTTAAACTCTTGGTTTCACTGAATCTGTTAACTGGTAGCTCAGAGATCAGCTGGGGGAAATTTTTACACCTATAACCCCAAGAACTTGCATTCAGTAAGACATGGAAGCCTAAAGTTGTTGCCACATTTACGAACATGAAAGCTTAAGTTCATTGTGTAAATAACTTAGCAATTGACAAAGCATCATTAGTGTGAAGTCAAATGCAACTGCATACATTTAGACACACAGGACATGGGCACATGCAAACTGGCTACACACACACACACACACACACACACACACACACACACACAAATTAAAACATCTCATACCTGCCTTAGAGTTCAAACTCAAGTGACCTGACAGATAATGTGACTTAGGTATTTCTGAGGTCAGAAATGCCTTGAATCAGTAATGACAAGCTGTGACAAAACTCCGAAACCCCCTCTGCCACACGTAATACCAAAGCAGAAATTAAGAAATAGTCTGAGAACTCGGGCAAGCTTCAAATTCAGAGTGAAGGCAGATAAGTCCTTTGTCCTAAGGTCTCACTTTTCCTTTATTGTGCATGAAAGAAAATGCAGGTAGAGAACCAAGTTGCTTTCATTCCACACTATAACATCATTCATCAGCTGCCAATCTGCTGACCATATTGATTGATTTTCCAGCCTGTCAATTATAGCCACTCAGGATGGACACTAGGGATTCTCAGCTCTGAAATATTCACAAAAGTCATCATCAATAGGCTCAGCGTAGGGTTCTTCCAATGTATGCCAATATATAATCAATAAATCAAACATCATTAAAGCCTCTACTATGTGAAAAATATTCTGCTTGATATTTTAGGAGATACCAAGATGTATATGGCCAGGGCCCTGCCTCCAAGGAGCTTTATAATCTAGTGGGGACGGTGGGGGGATTTAAAACAAAGAGAAAAGATAATACGAATGGTGATATTTGTGTGTTGAAATTATAGAATGTTATGGTTTAAAAGTTCCTTTGTCATTCTCTATGACAACTTGATTATTAGAGGGCCACAGGGAGGCTAAGTGAGGTTAAGCTCTAGAGGTTAAATGACTTGTACAGGGTCATATAAAGTTCCAGCAGAGTTCAGATGAGAAAAGAGATCTCTTGGCTTCTCAGGCCGGCACCTCTTCCATTGGGCCTGGCAGTGCCCTCCTGGGCTAAGAGCCTTGAGAAAAGCCTAAGTGAGCAGGCTTCTCCAGAAGAGAAGATATTTTATGGCCTTAGAGCTTTATCTGATCCTTGGTCACACTGATTTGTCGGAGTTGAGTACGGCTTCTTAACAGCAGATCTTCAAGACTTTGAAGATAAAAACCAGCCACAGACAGAGGGGCAAATGCAGCCTTCATAGCTGGGAACCTGGGCTCACTGCAGGTCTTATCTGGCCTCCTAAGTGTCTGAGAGTTAGAGATCTCAAAGTTAAATAGAATCCTGAAGGTTCCCTTTTACAAGAATGAGGGAAGTTATCAGACACCATCCAAGGCTCCGTGATTCTTTCATTCACAAAAGGACCCTGATATAGGATCACCTAATCCCCAGTAATCTTTTGCCTCGAGAAATAAAGATGGAGAGGCAGACTGAGAGACTCGATTTTCATTTTCTATTTTATTTTTGCTCTTTCTGCAAACTCAAAGAGTGATATCTAAAAACTGCTGCAACATCAGTGGTCATGAGCACTTTCAGAGCAAATGTCACAATTAAAAACACATCTTTGCTGCCTGAGGGCTTTGGGTAACAGGAAGAAGCCATACTTTGTGTAATGTATCACTTGGCCCATGCATTTGGCAGAGCAAAAATGAACCCAGAAAACCACAAGACTGCATCTGGGGTAAGAATTCTCACATTTAACCCACTACACAAACAACACATGTATTCTATCTGCTCTGAGAGCCACAGAACCACTGCCCTCATCTCCATCCACAATGGGTATGCGATGAAGCCCAGAGTCACAGCTGAATCAGAACCGTGGCACAGAGCTGCCCTCCCAAGTGTCGTCTGGACATGAGTACTCCTAGACTATCAAGGGAGGACCCTGGGACTTCCACAAAAGAAAGTAATCTCTACGTCAACACCATGGTGAAGACTTTGGTCCTAATGGAACAGGGACAGAAACATTGGTCCCTGTCTGTGCCCTTTGCTAAGACCCCAGGCACCCTATCCTCCTGACCCAGGCCATTGGCAAGGTGGACCCTGACCTTCTTGGTAGGAGGCAACCACCTCAGCAAATAGGTTCTCACCCACTCAACCTCATTCCTCCTCTGCCCATTCCTTCCCCAGGCATTTCTGCTATTCAGAGAAAGGTGAGCCCACTCTCAGCCCCTATTGCCTCATTCTTTTCCCCTGGGCAAGGTCACCAGGTCAGAGTTGGGCATGTTCTCTCAGATCTCAGGGCTCCTAGGAACTGGCTCCCTGGCACTATGGGTCAAAAATGTCCCCTTATTGGGTCAGCAGCTTTCCTGCAGTAGAGTCCCTCAGCTTGAAGGCTTATTTCAAACTTGGTCTCCCTAGGACCTCCTCGAGAGCTCACACCCACGTTGTTCATTTTAAAATGAACCCCTCTCCTTTCTTCCTTCCACCTCAATATTCCTCAGAGACATCATCACTCTGATACAGTGGTTAAGGGCTCAGGCTTTAGGATCAGAATGACCTGAGTTCAAATCTCAGCTCTAGCAGTTACTAGATGTCTAACCTTGGCACAGGTTCATTCACCTCTTTGTGCCTGTTTCCTAATCCACAAAAGGAAGATGATATTCGTTACACTATCCAGCTCACAGGGTCATCCTGAGGACCAAATGAGTTAGTTTGAATGGACTGTTGTTCAGCAGAATGCTTTACACGGAGGCGGCACTCACTACCCATCTGCAAGCCTGGCTCTTCCCCTCATACACTCTCACACAGCCATGGGGACAGGAAGGAGAGGAGAAGCCAGCAGGACTCACGAAGACACGCTTGGTTAACTTACAGCAGTCACACGATCCACCCTCCCCTAGTTCTCTTCCTCTTCCTTCTCAGGCTGCTCCTCTACGCTCTTTCTCAGTTCTCAGTTACCCCTGACTCTGCCCTCTCACATCCAATCCACCCTGTCCCAGGCCTTCCCAAACCTTCCTTGGAAGCCCACTTTGAATCTGCCCCCTCCCCTTCACGCAACGGCGATCTCTCCTCTACTGCCCTGCATAATGTATTCAAGTGCATGGTCCTCAGTGCCGCACAGAGGGAGGACGAAAATCCAAACACCTTAGCCTGCCGTTCTTGCCTTTCTTCACCTAGTTTTAAGCGACCTTTCCAGTTCCATCTCTGCTATTTCGCTCCATGTCCACAGTACTCCAGCCAGGTTGGACGATTTACAGTTCCAACATTGTCATCATCTAGTCTCTACCTCTATCCAGGCAATTTCCTTGCTGGAAAAGGTCTCCCTCTTTCCATCTTTCAAAGCCCATCTCAAAGTCAGTTCCGTCACTGGCTTTCCTCAATTATTCTAGCTAGGTGTGATCTCCTTGTCCTTCGGTTTTCAGTTATTTTTCTGATACTAGTCTGATGCCTGGTAAACAGAACAGGGGCTTACTCAATAAATGGTGTTGAATGAATGGGCTGCAGTTAACTGGCATGTCAGAAAAACATCACTTCCAGGTAAACCTTGAGCCCAGACCCACACAAAGAGTTGCCTTGGAAATTTAAATCTAGACAAGGTTCTCAGAGAAAGTTTGCTATTTTAAAAAGCATAGTTTAAGTTCCTTTTAAAATCAGTACCAGATAAAAGATAAATTGGGGTTCGATTAGGATTTCCGCACACTTAAATCCCATCAACCCATATAAGCAATCTTAAAGCACACGGTATGATGCCATTCCCCCCAAGGGTATTTTTATACGATGAGTGACTAGGTACATGTGTGTATCTACACACCTCTGTGTATATGAGCGATGGTCTTACTAAAGGTCAATCTGAAGCTAAGGTTCACACAGGACCACAGTTGAGAAAAAATTAAGCTACATAGACAAATGTAGGAAAATGTTAGCATATAAAGGGTCATTTAAGTCCATACCGAATTTATGAATACTAAAATGTGCTTAAAAATACAGTATACCTAATTTCCACTCCATATAAAAACATGCCCACATACTGCTGGGACTGCATGGCTTGACACTGGTGTCTCAGGCATGAACAGCACAGCCACCGGCAGGGAGGCCACCACTGAAGCTTCATCTCCCAGGACCACGTCCGCATGGAGGATTATGTACAATACTTGTAAGTGACTTCGCACTCACCGCCCGCCCCCAGTGTGTGGCACTTAAACACCACAAAGACGGTGCTACTGAGGCACGCTTACACACTCCGATACATTGTTCTCATCCTATAAATACCTCTTTCTCACTCTCTTTCCTTGGCGTCAGGTAGACATTTGCTTACACCCACAGTGAGTAACTAATCTGGGCAAAACGATGCATAGAGGCTCCCGGATTCCAAATGTAAGGGACTAGGTCAGAATGACAGCACTCTGCAGGAAAGCCACTTTTGGACCTATGGGGGAGGCTCAAGCGGGTGGTCCTGGGGCTGAGTCTGTGGATACCCCAGAAAGAAATGAGGAGAACAAGGCGGCTGCTAGGACACTGAAACACTGAAGCTGAACAACAGTTTAATCATGAAAAACAAGCCCCCGGCCAAGTA